TTGTTATCGCAGATAATCGTACATTTTCATTCATTATACCGTGAAACTCGCTAACATTTTTAAATCGCGTTAGAAAAATCGATATTTAAAAAATTAATGTCTGCATTAAGGGTTGTATTAAGAGTACTAAAAGATTCAAATATGTGCAAAAGTGAATTTATAGAAACTATAATACTTAATTTTTTATACAAAGAGAAATTTTTTTTTGAGGATTTTTAACAGATTTTTTCCTTATCACTGAAATCAATCAAACTTGAATACGAGAGTGAGGCAAAATTCTCTGCGGCAATCTTAGATGGTGCGACGTCGCGATAGTACATTTTTCCGACACCGGCGGAAGATGACGCACCCTCCTCCATATTTTAAGTATGTGGGTTTTCGACATGAGCCATTATAAGTTCGAGGACGCGCGCGTGAGGCGCGTGCACGCGAGACGGGGAAAGAAAGGCCGAGAAAGAGGCGGCGGTACACGGGAGCGAGAAAAAAAACGGAGAAAGAGAGAGAGACGGAGCGAGAGGCAGGTGCATCACGGTGACACTCCCTCGATAATTCTCCGGCGAGAGAGAAAAAGAGAGAGGAGGAAGAGAGATGGCAGTAGCCGGAGAAAGAAAAAGAGAGAAGGACCTAAGTCACGAGTGTTGTGTCTGGAGCTCGTTTATGGTCGTTCGGTTAAACTCTCGCTCCGAGGAAGGAGAGTTTCGAAAATGGCGCCTGGCCATGGGGTTCGGCCGGAATGTTGAGCGTGGCAACCTTCGTCGCGGTTGCGATACGGGATATCTCGCGATCGAGGGAGAGTTGCGAAAACGGCGTTATTGGGATATTTGACGGGGCCCTCTCGCTCGAAATAAATATTTCGCTCGCGAGAGAGGCAACCTTATTTCGTGCAGGAAATTGCGCGCGAGTCGTAACGGTTGGCCAAAAGGGCATGGAGCAAATAATATATTTCTTTACCGGGAACACTCAAGTAAAAACGGATACTCCCGATAAAGAATACTGAAGCGACTAAAAGTCGCCAACACACGATTGGCGACAGCGCAAGTAGAGCGACAACATTTCGAACGTTCGATGAAACGAACGTTTGCGCTATACATGAATCACACACGTGTGTTTGTTAAACTATATTTTATCGAGCTCGCTACACTTCCTGAAACAAACTAGTGCTCCAGGTAGATTTACTCGTGAGTCACACCGTGCGCGCGACTAATTTTAGATCCGTTAGCTTTCGGCGCCGGCTATATGTATGTGTGTGTGTGTGTGTGTGTGTGTGTGTGTGTGTGTATGTTTTCGCCGCATTACGCGTAATTTCAAATCAGATTATTTTCTCGCGCCGGCGCGAACGTTTATCTTTCGCCGATGGATTCTCCTGGGATTGCATCTCGTGCGCCGCGCCGCCGCGGCGAAATGTAGCGCGAAAATCGTTCTCGCAGTCGGCCGTTTTGCCGGCGGATTATGAAACGTCGGACGGACAATGAAACACTTATCTTTCCGACCGACTTTTATCTCTGTTTATGTTACTATGTTGCGTTGCGTGACTGATAGAATTTCAGTCGATCGGCCAATTATACAGCGCAACGGGAAAGAAGCCAAACCAAAGACCTCAGTAGGTGAATCTTTTACGGATTAGAGGGAATTAAAACTGACACCGGAAGTATTTTTGGGAAGTAGGATAGACGCTATTTTCGGATACCCTTGCACTTGAAACCTGACGATCCTCGACTGTAGGACACTATAGACAGGAAATCATAAGGATATTACGTCACGATGATTTACTTTTGTGACAAGACTCCAATCCTGACTATTATTTCCCCCGTTTATTATTAAATTATTTTGTATCAAAGTGCTTATAATAATAATAATATTATTAATAATATATAAATCTGTTGTTAAAGCTTCTGTGGCTGTTATCCTCTATACGCTTGCGAGTAGACCGAAATTCAATACGAACTGTTTGCAAAATAGCAATACGGAGCAATACGCAGCCGTAAATTGAAGGCTCGCGACCGTCGTAATACGGCTCGTTAAGTATCGTACGCAAAGTAATACGAGCCTTAATAACGACCGCGGCGCAGTAAGATCCGAGACGAAGGTCTCTCTCTCTCTTCGACGCGAAACGACAATCGTCAAGATTAACGGGCCGAAACGAACCGACGACTCGTCAACTCGTCTTGTAGTTATCAAATTATGAGAAACGAGACTCGGCGAATCTGACACCCGGTAGAAACATTCGAGCGTAAATAACGAACCTCCATCGATTCTGCCGCGACGGTTCTTCGGTCTTCGAAGAACGTGTAACGATGTTATAATCTTCTATTATATGTTTAATCTATCGTTAAAAATATACCTAGCGAAACGTAACCCGGCATAATTATACATCGTACGACGTGAAGACATTCGATACAGACGCGATATCAAATATCTTGTTATCAATTTAATATTGAGAGGAACGTGATTCTATCGTTTCGCAATTCTGCAACGAAACGTAACTCGGTATAATTTCACATCGTTTCGAGCGTCTCGTAAAACTACGCAGGGCGTCGTTTTCCAAACCACTGTACGTGTACAAAGGATCGCCAGCTCGTCGCCACGCCGAAACGTTGCCCTTTCCTGGCCGTCTTGTTTACCGCCATAGGAAAGTTTCATGGCATACGCGATGCCGCGATATAAATTATATTTAACCGAATAGCCCGGGCGCGCGCAGAGCTCCCGCAGCGTTTCAAAGGAATATGGGAACGCCTCGGACGAGACGTCTAAAACATAGTTTTTGCGGTCTTCCCGAGCCGCTCGGCTGCGCCGAACTTAGCGTACGCGAGAGGGCCTACAGTCTACCGTCGTCTTCCAAACAGCATCTCAAACCAAACAAACGTTTGAGACTTAGTTAACCAACTATACCGCGATTTGCCGCGCAACACATCTCGCGCTCTTCTCCCAATTGTAATTTCGTAACTGCTTTGTGCGATAATTAACGTGGGAATCTCGCGGTTTCAAAAAGCATTGTAATAATCATGAGAATAATTTCGACATCGTCTAATTAGAAACAAATATACAATAATTGTACAATCGTTCGAAAAATAGATCGAGCAAATACAGCTACAGGCTTGATATAAACAAGCAAGATGCAGAAATATTTGATTTTTCAATGATTTTAATTACGATGATTATAATTATAAAATACAGATAAAGAATGTATCAATATTTTTTATATTTTTTTTCTCAAAATAAATAAATAAATAAATAAATTCTAAGATTATTTGTAGCGCTTAAAATCTTTTTTGTCAAGTGCTCGTTTAATTAATGTACATAAAAGATAAAAATTGCCAAATAACTCGCCAAATATTAGAAACACGTGAGATAGGTATTTAAAAACTAGCGGGGGCTAGAATTTGTGACACGTGTTGCGACAATCAAAGATCCATGAAGGATGAGAACCTCGCTTTCGAGAGGTAACGCACGATTCCGCGGCACGCAACGGCGCATCGCTCCGTGGCTGCTTCTCTGGCAGGTGTATGAAGCCAGAAATAAAAGAAAAACGGCGTTCGCGCGGAGGCTGACTGCTGAGGGAGCGAGAGGAAGACAGAGAGAAAGAGAGGGAGAGAAAGGAAGAGAAAAGAGAGGCTCGAGAAAGGAGGAAAAAGGATTCGATTTATGGACTCTCGCATTACATCCGAGCGATTAACCACTAACGATTCGTACGATCGCGGTGGCGACCCGGCACGTGGTTACGAACATAACGCGAGAATATGTATACTTAAGCCGATAGATCGACGGAGAGCGGAACGGAGCATCGCGACGGCGATCATCTCTTTCCCGGAAGCCTCCCTTATCGGCGCTCACCCTCGCACATTCATATACGAGCATGCTTCACACACCATATGCATGCACACATACCATACACACACGCGCATATATCGCTCCTTACTACACTGTTGCACATGACAGCGAACGACGACGGACGTCTCTCTGTCTGACGTGTCTAGGTTATGTCATTCGCATCCCGGCGCGGCGTCGCGATTCACGCGGGGAGCGAGGAACCCGCGTCGACGGAGGGAAAATCGCGGCGTCGGAAGAGGGTAACCAGGACGCGGGGAACACGAGGCAGAGAGCCGTTGCTCTCGTCGCTAGTTGCCGTCGACGGGGCAGCACTGTCCAGGGCACTGACAAGCGAACCAAAACACACGGAGCGAGGGGTTGCCCTGGCGGCCGTCGACGCCGCGATCCTCGGCGCGATCGCGGGCTCAATCGACCGCGGCTCGGACGCCGACGGGCCTTCAAAATACGCACGCCGCACCGGGTAGACACATGAGACACAGACTCCAAAGATCGGAGACGGAGGGTGAGAGAGAGAGACGTCCGTCGCTTTATCTTCCGCACGAGCCGCGCACGGCCGCAAGGTATCCCGTGCGCGAGGAGAGGCACGGGCACTGCCGACGACGCACACTCACCGGACTGCTTATTAGCGATCTTGTTGAAACAGTTCTGAAAGACCTCGTAGAGATGCATCGGCTCGTCGTCGCTGGCCGCCATGTTTCCGCACGAGACGTGAAAACGAGTGGACGTTCCGTGGTCGAGGCGAGTGGGCACGGTTTCGCGGAGCGGCCGCGCGCGGAGCCACACTCCTCCCGTTAAGATCACCCACACTACTGAAGTGCACCGCTTCACGGACGCGGCTCTTATACTCGCGCCGCTGGCGCCATCGCGCGTCCGTGGTCGAGCGTCACGCCCGCGCGTCGTCTTCGAAAGGCAGCAGCAGCGGTCGCAATCATCCCGATTCCCGATTTCGACGTCTTCAATTTTACACACTGCAAAAGCGGAAATACATATATCGTAAACTTTGTGTCAATCGAGTGCTTTTACGAAGAGCATTACAAGTCACGTTCTTTTTTTAATTTTTAGAAATAACGAGTAAAGAAATTTTAAAAAATTCAATTCTTGATGGAAACATGGAAGGATTATCATGGATATTTGCTGGATTGTTCCTTCGGATAATTCTCCCTCGATAACGATGCTTGCATTAAAATTTTTTATTCACAAGTTAATAGTAGAAACAGTTGTACAGAATAGATTCTGAATATATTAAAAATATTAGGCACAACGATCTACGTAGAAAATTATAATACATGAGATTTAAATCGTTGTATTCGATTAACTCGCTAAATAGAATAGACAACAGAAGTAATATCATTCACAAACGTTATCAGTTAATTAAAGTAACTTATGCCTGTGTAACATTGCTATATTATTGTATGATTAGACAAAGTATAGAAATAATTATATGTATAATTTTATGTAACTTTTATATTTTAGTAGGTTGTATATATACATATTTTAATATATATATACAATCTACTAAAATATAAAATATATATAAAACTATACATATAATTATATTATATATATATATATTACAAAAACTTCAATCAAGCAATAGAAAATTAACAGCAATAAATATAAATACATAATCTTTGATTTTTTGCAAAATATGCAAGGCAACTTATGTATAATTTAAAAGATTTTTTATTAGTGCTAATATAGCATTAATAAATAATCTTATGAAATTATAACTTAAAAAAATATATTATGTCACAAATTTATATATATTGTATGAATTTGGAATTGTTTTCAAAAAATTCTGTTCAGCCCTTTTTAAACTGGTTCAAAATCGGAGTTCTGTGGGACGGGATGAGAAATCTCCTCATACTCTTGCCTGTTGTATCCTGTAAATAATTCAAACAAAATAACATAGACCAATTTTATTTGCAATCATTAAAAAGATCTGTCACTGTTGCACGCTACATTTTTATGCAATATAACTTCAAGCAAAAAGCAACTCCAAGAGAAATAACTATAAATAAAATAAGCTATAACTGAACACACAGAAACCTAGGTAACTAAAAATTGTTGATTATTAATAATACAGAACAATCATAATTTGCAATAAAGCGTACGTGCACATACTTAAAATCAGAAGCTTGTTGAAGCACTGACATATTACAAAAAGTGCAGATACAAAAGTGTAAATCACTGGTGTGACCAGTGATTTACTAACCCGTGGCAGGACTTGGTACGAATACCGTGGCTAAATTGCCATTTCTCGCCTGGCCTATTCGCAACAGATATATACTCGAGATAGGTCGAGCGACCAAATTTATGATCATGAAGATTGCGCTAAACGTTTCTGGCCCATCTGCAAGTTAATCAGACAGATACATCTTTTGAGTAGATCAATAAACAATTTGCAACATCCCATTTCTCCTCTTTCTTCATTCACTATGGAAAAGACATTATAGAATACATTTGATACTCACGGATGTAATATGGATTATAGATTGCCAATGTGATCACATCAAGAACTATAGAGATTACATTTATGAAAAGTGCCTGTAAAAATGCATAATCACAGCCAATTTTAAATAAAATAAAAATAATGAACTCTCCTCCTGCTTCTTTAATAACTTACAAATTGCAGCGGTTCGTCTGACTCAACATCACGAACAGCCCAAAATATGCAAACAAAGAATAGTAGGTTATAGAACAATACAGATTTTGGACACCAACCTCCCTGCATAGCCCTGTAACGTATTTTATATTTAACACAGAATATAAAGATACAAGTTCTTATGTAGATAACATCTCTCCACTTCAACGGCATGCAAGCTGCTCTTACCATGTTACAAGTATCAAGTGAATTGTAAATATGAGCTGAAAAAAATACAATAATAAACGATATCATTTTCTGTTTTTGTTTGAGCATTGTATTATTTATACATTTGTAAATTAAACTGTTCTTAGAAAAACAGAAATAAACTGCGAAATCAATGTACACGCAAGTGTCAATTTGGGCAATTGCAAAAAAATACAATATTACGCCGTAATTATTTTGATGAAAACACCACTGGATATACACACACTGAAAGATAGGGGAGAACGCAGTTGATACTTTATTTACATACCTTTAAGGGAAAATGAGTTAAATTGGTTATATTAGGCATCTTTGTCGCACGACAATAAGCCTCTATATAATGACGAAGAGAACGACTGATTAATTCGGATGAGATTTTTAAAAAAATATCTTTCTGACAAAGAAATATCTAATCTGCTTTTTCCGCCTACAATTTCGATTCGACAACAACACGAAGCGCGTATACATGTGTACTGCGTATATCAGCTGTGCAGCCAGGACTCCAAGAGCGCTTTCAGCAGCTGCTGCCATCTAACAATTGCTCTGCCTAAATTAATATTCGAAAATTGTTTGCAAATAGAAAAATGGAAACTAAAATTCTCATAATCATCCAATCAATATTGGCATTTTATGTGTATCATAGTGTAAAGAAAATTCGATATTAGTTATATATTTGATCAAAAATTTGAAGGAGAAAGAGAAAGAGAGAGAGAAAGAGTTTTTTCCATTTTTATTAATAAGACATATAAACAATATAGATGAGAAAAAACTCCATATTCTTCTCCTTCTCCATTTCTCTATTTAATTCTTATTTAATTCATCCACCCATTTTACCATTGTTAATTTTATCTTTTTGTGACTACAATTTTATGTGAAAAAAAAATATATCAATGCAGCGGATTACAGAACTACATACATATACCTAATTATTTTACGCGCAAACTTTTGCTTTTTATTGTGTTTTATGGTAATTCAATAGGGAACGATATACGCATAAAGACTTTGATTGACTTTGTACGTATATGTATATATAAGTACACAAGCGGATCGATATCGAAATCATGATATCGATGTGTGTTTCATGACGTCAATATTTATGATCAATTTATGAGACGCGCTGAGTGTAACTTTTGGACGCTCGCGAGCAACATGGCGGCGAATCGCGACTTTCGAACCCGAAATCGGGCGCGTTTTGCCATTAATCGCCGTTTGGAATCTGTCCAATGTGCATGGCAATATTGTACGATTTTCGAAATACCGAAACTCGAGCAATAAACATAGAAATGAATGTATATCCGTACCTGGCGATGACCGTGCGTGCCAGCGCACTACTTTCGCCGCATTTCGGATTCGCGCTAGCTAAAAATGGAAGGATGCTCCCGCTGCAGGGATGTATTTCCGAATCTTCGGAATATCTCCGAGTATCGAGTCGCGTTACCTAACGATCGTACGCGACATTCAATACACTACGAATGCCCGACGCTTCGCGAGTAATTTCGGCGCGCGGGATTATCTCCGAATAACAACGATCGCGAAAAAAATACGGAACGACGCGGACCCGACTCCGGCACTCGCCGCGATGCGAGCGTTCTGTACCGACCGCGATTCACGAGCTATCGATAGGCGCACGTTCGAGATTCTCGAATCTCGAAGCCTACGGAAATCGTCGACCAGGCGCATTTAACCTAACCTAGAATTTCTAGGCTAGAAATAAGCCTAGACGTTATCGTCGATTATGTAGCGAATAATGCCAATAATATGCTAATATATGCCTGATACATGCCTGATACCTGCCTAATATATGCCTAATGTATGCCAAATAATGCCGAATAATGCGACACATGTACGTATATCTAATCGTAGCATCGTACACGCGCGTGTGTTTGTGCGTGTGGCTCCAAGGCGCCGCGATAAGACGCTCGGTACCAATTATCACGTGAGTGTCCTAAGCATGTGGGTCAGTCGTCAGTGATTTTCAAGTTGGATAACTTTTACTCCTTTTACTTGCACGTATCAATTGTTGTTGACCGTCATTTTTCTCGCGTGGCGGTAAAAGATATTTATAAATGATGTTGTACAGAAGTCGTTACTTGTTGAGGCATCTTCGGCCTTTCATCAGATTTTATCACGAGGAAGCGTCCGTCATAGGCAACACGCAGGACACCAGCTCACCGGTTTATCAGGTTAGGAATTAAAGTTGTGTTTATTCACTTTAGTCTTTCATTTTTTTTCATAGCTATACTTTTGTGCCACTTCTCTCAGGATATAATATTATGTAATAATTACTATAATTTATAATTTCAATACAGCTTACAATTTCAAGCTTAATATTTCAAGCTCAATATTTCGAGCTCGATTAATATTATGAATAATATTAAACATGTGTTTCCTGCTGTTACACAAATTTTGTAAAATATGAATATGAATAAAATTAGCTTATTTCAGTTATATTTTCTTTAATAAAGTACATGTCTGCAGTTATATTATAAATGTGATTATTTTTAATATTGCAGGAGAATTACGCGCAAATGAAAAGTCTTGTTGATCAATTGAAGGAGACTGTGGAGAAGATAGTCGAGGGTGGTGGACAGAAAGCCAAAGACAGACATACAAGCAAAGGAAAGCTCTTACCACGGGAGCGGATTAATACTCTTTTAGATAAGAATTCACCTTTCTTGGAGTTCTCGCAATTGGCGGGCTATCAGATGTATGGTAAGGAGGAGGTGCCAGCAGGTGGAATCATTACCGGCATTGGAAGAATAGAAGGGTATGTCAATAGCTAACAAAATTAATATTTCGAACATTAAATATTTTGACGTTAGTGTATCAATCAAATACCTTTCAGCACTGAATGTATAATAGTTGTGAATGATACTACTGTGAAGGCTGGTACATATTATCCTATCACAGTCAAGAAGCAATTACGAGCTCAGGAAATTGCGGAGGAAAATAGACTGCCTTGCGTATATTTAGTTGACAGCGGAGGCGCAAATTTGCCCAGGCAGGACGATGTATTTCCGGATAAAATGCATTTTGGCAGAAGTTTCTATAATCAAGCAAACATGAGTGCCAAAGGGATAGCCCAAATCGCGGTGGTTATGGGAAGTTGCACAGCAGGTATCGTTATTATTCTATTATCGATATTTATTAATTTTTTTTACTTTACATAGGATTTATCATTCTTGTAATCATGTTACAGGTGGTGCATACGTTCCTGCCATGGCGGATGAAAATATAATTGTTGGTAATCAAGGTACAATATTTCTGGCTGGCCCACCACTGGTAAAAGCATCAACCGGTGAAGAGGTCTCGGCGGAGGATCTGGGCGGAGCTGCGCTTCATTGTCGGTAATTGTTTTAAACGCTGTACGCTGGACCATTGGTAAGTGCTAATTATATTCAAAATTTAGGCAATCTGGCGTGACCGATTATTACGCGATAGACGACACGCATGCCTTGCATCTTGCGCGTCGAATTGTAAAATATTTAAATCTGCAACCGCCTATGGATGTGAAAATCAGTAAAAACATCGAATTGCCCGTACACGCCATCGATGACATTTATGGCATCGTCGGAACGAATCTGAAACGTCCGTACGACGTGAAAGAAGTTATCGCGAGGATCGTGGACGGGTCGAAGTTTCACGAATTTAAAGCGCAATACGGCGAAACCTTAGTCACGGGATTCGCTAAAATTTACGGCTATCCTGTCGGCATAGTCGCGAACAACGGTGTATTGTTTTCGGAAAGTGCTTTAAAGGGAGCTCATTTTGTGCAGCTTTGCGCTCAGAGAAAAATCCCTCTTATTTTTCTGCAAAATATTACAGGTACATTTACATGAACATCATTCACGTGTGTTATATTTCGGTTTAAAATTTACATTAAGCAGAATATAATATAACACAATTTTATCAATATAGGATTTATGGTGGGTAGAGACGCAGAATTGGGAGGTATCGCCAAAAATGGCGCTAAAATGGTAACGGCGGTAGCATGCGCACAGGTGCCAAAGATCACAGTAATAATTGGAGGTTCTTATGGTGCTGGAAACTACGGTATTTTTTTTTCTTAACTAATATTTTCTTTTTGAAGAGAGAAAAAAGTGTATGATAATACGAATATTTTTTTGAATAGGAATGTGCGGTCGATCTTATTCTCCACGTTTTCTTTACTCCTGGCCAAACGCTAGGATATCTGTAATGGGAGGAGAACAAGCAGCGAGCGTGTTAGCGCAAATCACCAAGGATCAACGTGCAAGAGAAGGCAAACAGGTGTGATTTTACTTTTGTGTTTCTTTAACACGGAGATATGAATGTATATTTGATATAAATATGTATTTTGCAGTGGACTCAAGAAGAGGAAGATAATCTCAAGAATCCTATCATAAAACAGTTCGAGAAAGAAGGCAATCCATATTACTCCAGTGCTAGGTAAATTATCGTCGTTGGGTACAAAAAGATATTAATTTTATTTGACAAATATTCTGGTATTTTCTAGATTGTGGGATGACGGTGTGATCGATCCGGTGGACACGCGAGTCGTACTCGGTCTGAGTTTGTCAGCAAGTCTGAACGCGCCTATACTTGATTCTAAATTCGGGATTTTCCGAATGTAGCACAAGTACAGAACGCGTGAAAGTATATCCTGAAAGTCCAATATTACTGTTAAACTTTATACATCTTTTTATATATTTGCAATTTTTTATTTTTGCGATTTTATATTTTATACATGTATACATGGTAAACTATATAGAAACTCTATTTTGTAAAAAATATTTTTCTACCGTTGTTACACATTCCAAATATATGTTATATTTTACGCTGTTGATTCATTATGCTTGTATGTAACTTTATAATTCCTCCAGAATGCATCTTCCTACTTAAAATTTACTACATTTTTAGTAACACAGAATGGTGCATCTTATATTTTGGCTCAATTAAAATCAAATTAAAATCATTACTGTAATTCATTTTTAATGGGTATTAGGGAATAATTATGACTAAGAAAATGATCGCTGTGCCTCGTCTGCTATCGATTTATTTAACATAATAATTAAACTGAGATTACAAATATACGCAATTAATAATTACTTAGTAATTAATTAAGTCGCATTTTAATATTACACCTCGTCGCACGACTAGGTCTTCGTCTTTCTCCACTCGCAAAGGCCAATTTTCTTTTGGCAGTTACTCTATCAAGAGATACGGCAATTACTTGCGATATATAATTAAAAAAAAGTATAATAAAACTAAAATTGAAACGTCGTGATTGAAAATTCGGCGGTCGCAGAGCGGAGAAATCATGTACGTTACTGTTTATTATGTTAGCGCCAAGATAGTTAATCCATTTGTAAACTTTCTTTGAATTTCAAATTCGATAATTTAATTTTATCGAACTTGTCGCCTAACATTTGATTCTCGTTAAATATATTTTAGTATCACGCATAAAAATGTTTCAATATGGACGACAGTTTTACATTGAAGACAAATTTTCACTTGAGGAAATGCGTACCTTGAAACATCGACATTTTAAATCGAATTTCATTCAATGCTCTTCTTTTTAGACATACTTGTATTTTGATTATACAGTCTATATGATCACCATTATATAATTAGTGATCTGCTGTTACGACGATCGGGGAGTCTCTCAATTATTAGTGAGCAAGTTAATTGTCATTTCCGAAAGCGACACTTTTATCCACGTTTTTAATATATCTCAGACTGCGTCTTATTTACAGTTAGCGATCATGTTTGTCAGGAAACAAGAATTTCATTCTCTACAGGAATTTGTAAAAGCAAAGAAGAACCAAAAGGAGAGACAAGCTCAGTGCACTACACGAGGAACCATTGAGTACCACTTCGGTGACCTTATATTTAAACTGTTCCTTTATCTCTTCCGCGAGGAACGCTCTTTCGTGCGTTCTAATTGTCGTCGGATCGGACTGCTCCCTGACTTCCTCGGCGACTACCGCCCTCTCCTTCGTGTGCGTCCTGTTCTTCCCCTTCCTGATGAATCCCGAAAGTACTAACAACACGAAGTACATGTACGCATCGTAACAGGAGCCATAAACATGATAAATGCACGATAATTATTCAAGCGTTCATTTACATTCCGAGATGAAGATATATACCTTTATCAATCATGACGTCATCCGCGGAATCGACCTTGATGAACGTCGACATGGTTACCTCGAACAATTTATTCTTGTCGGTGTTGGACATCTCAATGGCTCGCCTTTTCCTGCCGAAACCGATCTGGCCGTTGCTGCATTCGATCTGAAATCCAAACGCACACATTTTAATAAACGCCGAGACGAGAGCGGGAAGTAACGCGGCGTCTAACGAAGCGGAAAAATAAGAGATAACGACTGTGCAAATGTAATTTAAAAACCGCTGGTATTAAAAATCGTGCGCTACGAAAGAATGAAGTCATACCCCTGGACACTTGTCCAAGCAGACGTTAACGGTGCCGCGGAATTGGACGTAGGTGCTTTCCGGAAACTTGAAGGCCCGGAATTTCGCCGTCAGGAAGTCGCCATCCACGGTGTTGAAATTTTCGAACAAGTAAGGATCGACGGAGCACCTGCGCGCAAATATTATGCGTTATATAATATGTAAAATGTGAAATGGTATTTCTTTAGTTCGCGCCTGCAACGGCATCAATTACGTTGATCAATTACCCGTTAATAATAATCGTTTCCTCCTGCGTCTTGGTATCGGTGACCAACATGTAAGTCACCAGCAGGCCGTAGATCGGCGCCGAATCGTTGTCCAAAAATATTTCCATCTGCAACGGCGTGCCGGGACTGACGTTGAGCTCGCCGGTCACCAAGACTCCACCCTGCCTCACTCCGACGCCGAGAATCGGCACTGGTGCCGATTTTTGAATCTCCTCACGTATGTCGATCACTCTAAAACAGGATGAATAAATTCCTTTAAAATCCTAAAAATTACAAACAAAATATAAACAAGTACTACAATTAAAAACAATTTATAAGCTTTTAAGTGAACTTGAGATAATATTTCTAAAAACTTTTTGTGAGTTTTTGCTCTTCTATAATTTTTATTGCCTTACTGGGCTTACATAAAAACATCAGACGCAGTGGTATGTCTTGATTTATACGTTCAACTGTTGTGGATCAAATCTATCGGATTGTCACATGTCGAATCCGTGACGAATTGTATGACGAACGGACAGAATCGCAAACCGCAAGGTTACAATCGCCTACTTTCCAAAATGAAGTCAAGAGGGCGAGCACCTGGCCGGCACGGTGATCAATGTTGCGTATCCAAATATGCAATTCCAACCCAGCAGCAGTTTGTACACGCCAAAGCGCAAGAACGAAGGCCTGTGTTGCAGTTATCTCCATAGGAAGATTCGACCCACTTTACGGTTTTATGCAAAATCGCGGAAGATTATGTGCACGACCCGAGCACGATCTATTTTAACGAAAAAAAAAAAAAGACGAACCATTCGTGCGCTCGTTGCCTTTTTGCGCATACGTAAATCAATTCCGGTAAACGCCGTATACTCCAGTTCGTGCAGACTCATCGGTCGCTTCCGCGGCATATATTGTAGCGCTGGACCACGGTAGGCGGGCGGCGTATACGTCACATCGTCCGGCGAAATCGCATGTATGGTGACAGACGAAGTAATGAAGACGAATGTTCGTCAGAATGGGTAGACCGTGAAATTACCAGGCGACAAGGAGTCCGAACGCGGCGAAGGAGAAGCGAGGGGTAGAAAACGGGCAGATCGAGTTCTAAAGTAAAAAAAAAAAAAATGCGCGCGCGCATACGGACGAGCGCAGTTCGATAACAAGGTATCGGGACGGGTACCATCGGGAACCATTAGTCATTATTATGACTGCGACTCGTGTTATTTTACACGTTTCCCTCCTCGCCGAACTCGTCGCTCTCCTTTTTCGTTATCTCCCGACGCAGAACAGGCTTTGTTAAGTCGCCTTCCGACGCGTGACGACCTTTCGTAGACGCGATACAACGCTGTGTAAAAACTACTTAATTACGCGACTTATTTTCTATTGGAGGAGACACGCGATGCATCAGGCATGCACTCGGCAGAGAAATTCATTCCGAGTGTCCGAGAGCCGTCGGCTTTAGCCAGGTGGAATCCTTAGAAATTCTCGCATTTAACTGCCCGCTCGAATTTTCTTCTATAGAAGAAGAACAGAACTAATCGAGAATAATTATCCCTTATAAATAACTATATAGATTCGTCCCGGTCGCGGACGAGCATGCACATGGCAGAATAAGTCGCGGCAGCGCAGTGCCGTCGACAGGACATAGTTAATGGGGAGATTTTACTCGTCGCGTGACTCTAGAGATCCCGCGAGATTGTCGCAGCGACGTCGCAACATACTTGATAATTCAACGATAATAAAGATTTCCCGCGAATTCCCGGTAACGGACGAGCGGCGGCGGGGAGAGATGTCGCGGAATTCGCGCGAGATCCGATCCGCCGAAGTGTATGTTCGATTAACGCCGATAAATTAGTGCCTCGACCGGACGACGCGCGCGGCGACGGTCGCGATAAAAATTCCTCGCTGTGTTTCCTCGAGAGCACGTTCCCGGAGGGTACTTGAAGAATGTCGACCGGCGAAGCGACTTGCGTTCGGGGGAAGGCAAGGGATCTACCGACAGGTAGTGCCTCTCTTCTCTCTCCCACTCCGGCACTTCGTACTTCGTTCAACGTGCTAAAATCGCTCACGCACGCATGCCGTGGCTTTTCCACCATCTGTAAAGGAACCGTTGCGCAATGGACTTGGGCCGCTCCGTCGTTCGTCGCACCATAAAATCGACTCTCGTAATGTCACCGCGTGTCTCAACTATATATACACAGAATGTCCCGCTATTAAATTCCTCGGGCGAGCTTAATAAGCACTTAATGTCTGGCCTTCCCGTTTGGAGAAAGATTTCGAGAAGAGGCCGCGTCTCACTCGCGGGCTCTCAAGCATTCAGCTTTCAAATTCCTTGGCGTCTACTCAAATGGTAATTCCAGAATTCACTTGAATCCGAGGCTGGGGGAAGAATTTGTTATTTAATCACGTCGCGGAAGCTCATTTCCATAATCAACGTTTATTCCCTCCGCATCTCTCCTATGCCTTCCATCTTCCTGTGCCGCGCCATAAATCGCAACGTCTCTTTTGCCGTGCTCGATGCAATTTTCCCTGTATCTCAATCGCCGGCCATTCCTCGCCTATTTCTGCGTACTCGCGCCGGACCGCACGTTTCCCCGGAGTAAACGCAGGTCGGAATAACACCGGCCGCACGAACTGGATGTGAGTGACCCGTCAAGCGATTTTCGAGGTGAAGAAGGAAGGAAAAAGCAGGAATGCCGATTAGGCATCCTCCGCGGATTGAAATATATTACTGGTTTTCCAAGCAGCTGCAACGCTGCGTTCGACCGTTGTGCAAATAAATCAGAGACGGCAGCATCTCGACTCGTTTGCAAATTACGAACTCCCGATGATGACTCCCAGCCAGTGGTCTTATAGCTGGCTGCTCGCATGCATATTCAGGTCAGGTGGGACGATTTATTTCGCTCGAATGTGGATCGGCCGGTCGATCGTTTTGTAATCATCGAATTTTCCACACAATCTCGCCGTCCTCGATAAACAACCCCTGCGCCGATCTGCTTTGCATCATCACATCTATACCAGGCATGCGAGATCGGTGGCTAGTTTTACTTTTTCGCCGATAAGTCGCCGGCTCACGCCTGTGTTTGCCGGTTGGAAAAAAAAACTTTTTTCGACATGCCCCAGAAGACCGCCTGATTGCAAATTTAATAAGATACGATATTCTCGCGGTTAATACCCGTTCTGCGAAACTAACGGCGTAAACGAGATCTACGACTATGATGACGCGGGAAACGATAACGCTTATATTCATCCATTTGGGTGGCGTGGAATACGATGTAATTGCACTTTATTATACTCAGTGATCTTGAAATCATTTATTACGTATCATCGTTGAGATATGAAACGACGAGATATGAAACTCTTTCAGGCTTTCCTGTCTCGCGGACGAACGGAAGGAGGCGTGTATCACTTAGTAAATTATATCCCCGCTTTGCATTCAGCAAACATAGTTATTTCTCTCAAACAACAAAAAACCGATCGGAAAGAAAAGGATGCCTGAGACGATCTGGACGTGACGATGAATTTTCTTGGTTTAAGTTATCTGTAACGAATCGTGGCCAATCAATAACAAGTACCGCTTTTTGCGCGACGAATGAAACTAGGACTCGTTGACCCGACAGGATGCGATTGTCACGTTCGCCAAAACGGCAGGTCAGGGGCTTCCGTAGAGAAGTTTTTCTCTCACACTCGCGCCGCGAGAGGCGCGACTTCCGGGTAATTAAACCCACTCGTTTGCCCATGCCGAGGAGATCATTTCGTACGAGGGGGAAGTGTGAGAGAGAGAAAGAGAGTCTTGTCTATCGCGCGGTGCGGTACGACGCGATTAACACTGTCGGATGACTGGCGAGAAATGAAAAGGACTGCGCAAGGTCCGGAGAATCTCCCGGGGCCTGCTAAGTCAATCTAATAGATTTGATAAATATCACGCTCATTAGCAGGATGCGCGCCTCCTTACGATTTCTTCCATTTACGTTACGCAGAACTCACAATCTCCCCGACTTTATTGCGTGTTATTACTTGTGCCGCGATGAATTACGCATATTTATCGCAACAACAAAGCGAGTGCGATTGCGTTCGCGTCATGGCGAATGCCGGATACCTCGTGCCGTAATATCAAACGCCTTAATGTCGAATGATTGATGACTTACTCAGGTTCCTGAAAGCCCGCCGGAAGAACGCTCCGCCGTACCGCCGTGTGATTGGCCGCGACGGCGATTTCTGGCTCCACGACAACTTCGGTGATTACGCATTTCACCGTGAACGTGTGCTTGCTGGAATCCGCTGGCTCCTCCACTATTACCCGATGATAGTACATCTTTTGACCCTGCGTCATCAAAATTCATAATCTCGATACAATGTACATATATATATATATATCCCGCGTATTACGTAAACGCTGGGCATTTCCATATACGAGTGTTAAAAAAAACGGAATGTACGCAATAATGCGCGCAATTTGTATATAAGTTACAATTGGAGTTTTGATAAATAAAAAAATTATTACCGTGACTTTGTTGAGGACCCTTGTGATGCCGCACCGTAACATGTCCTGTTCCAGCAGCGATAATTTAAACGTGGCTACGCCGTCGTGAAACTGCGGCTTACAAGCCTCGTCTGCAAAAGTAGAAATTCGATGTGAGCCATAATTTTGATTTACGCGCGGCGTTTAACGTAAAACGTTTGAATATATTCACCCGGAAAATGCTTGAATTGTTGGAGATATATCTTCGCCTGCGGACTACTCCTCACTATATCCACCTCCATCAATTGCTTGGTACATCTCACTTTGCTTTGCACTGAAATGTGAACATAAATATTTCTATGAGAGACATGGAATACATTTGTAAAATATATATTAGGTATATAATTTAAAACGTCTATTCTTAAAGTGTGAAAGAAAAAGGAAAATTGTATAGAACTTTTTGAGTCCTCAAATATAAATGCAGCGATTAAATTAGTTTCTTCAAAACATAAAAGCTGTTTGCCGTTTCTTACACTTTACGATCTTTATATGTGCACGCAGTAGTCGGCTCATTTACTGTTAATCACGATGGAATCGATATTTTAAAAAATATATCTCGATAAGAGAGAAGGATTTTCAAGCCGATTTACGATTTTGTTTTATGGAAGGATGAGCAGAAGTTAGCCGTATCCGCAAACTAAGTTGCTGTATACCACGGTAATTGCCCCATAAAGTCGTAAACGTCTCGACCTTGAAAAGCGAAGAGCGCAGCGATGCGCTCGGGAAATACGCGGTGATGTATATCCCACTGGTTTAGACCCTGTTTATTCATGGAATACCATGATAGATACTTTCACCGTTACCAGATGACGTCAAGCCATATATCGAAAGGAATCGCGCGTGTCCCAATCCTGAGGAAAGTCAACGAAAGATGTCAAATGGGAAGTCTATAATTTTTACGACATAATTCTGCATATATTTTTCCCGCATATATGCAAGCTCTTTCGCCAATTCAGAGAAGAATCTTTCTTAACAAATATGCCGGCGGATACTCGGAACGACCTGTAATAACGTCAAAGAGACGATTGTGTCCTCGGGAACATCAAAGCAGGAAGCGACGCGGGAACAATCCCGCGGATATCGTCGCGGACGTAATTCAACATTAATCTCGGAAGATACGGGAGGTGGCAATATTTTCTCCGTACTTAACGCACGCGCTTCGCAGCGAGCTCGGCGCGCATCGGGCAATAATTTACGGTGAGGTATCATCGTCACGTGCGCGCAACGCGCAACTGTTAAGGGAACGTGACGAACGTTCTTTCCCTTCCCCCACGACAAGGCGACCGAGGTGAGGACCTATGCAGTTTCACGCGATGCAACCGACCCTCAACTGCATCTCGGAATAAGCAGTCGGCCTCTGGCAACTATCGGCAACCAGCCCTCCATCATGTCGCGATCCCCGATAATGAATGACAGAATGAACAATCGCGAGCTGTGACGTTTTAATAACGCTCCGCGCGAACGTATTGCTGGTATCATTAATTCTCCGTTAGACGTTTCAGGTAGACTTGCTCGAAACAAGCCAATTTAAATTAAGAGTTAAGTTTTTTTTCTCTTTTACCGATTGTTCGCGCAAGTACATGTAGCTTAGTTCATTTCCGTGCAGTTTCACGAAACACAATGCGGGTCTAGCATACCACGATAATGAAGAAAGAAGGGGGATAAGTAAATAATGCAACTAGTAGCCGAGATGATTTAATGAGAAATAGCCTCCCCCGAGCTGAACTTCTACGTGGTTTGGCAGCTTATTTGATCGCTCGAGGCGATACCAGAATCCAGAGAGAAAGAGAAGTGGGCTTCACGCATGTTCCGCGCGGTCTGCAGGAGTCGTCTCGCTCGCGAGGCAAAGATAAACAAGCGCCACGTCGGCTGACAGACGCTGAACGACCGGTAGAATGTTTAATATACATTGTAGGCGAGCGCGCGCGCATCAGGAAGTGCACGGGGAGACTGGTGTGTGCTTTCTTTTATTTCCCCGGCAGACAAATTGATGTTCAGCGGCAGCAGCCGGTCGGGAGTCCGCGGCGCGCTCGCTGCGCGCTCGGATTGCAGCACTCCGGAGGATTAGCAGGTACTATCTGACAGGCGTTGATCAAGTCCTCGAGTCCCGCGCGCCTGTCTCCGTCGTTTGCCCGACGACGGGGACGAGCGACGGATCGAAATGACACCCGACGATAAGGCGCTGCGGAAATCACCGGGACGTATTTTAACGGGACCATACGTCTCCCCGGCCGGGCCCGTTCTCGGAACGTAGGAGAGATTATCTCGAATCTCGAGCGTTTCTCATCTTTATCCACGCGATGCGAGTCACGCATGAGGACGACCACCGCGCGAGGATGGTCGAAGGGTACTTCCTTTCTCTCTTTCTCTCTCTCTCTCTCTCTCTCTCTCTCTCTCACGACTCGTTGAAATTGTTCTATCCGCTTAATATGCGCCGACTCGTTTTCATCAGCATACCCGCTGGGTGTCGACGGCCAGCGGCGCGACACGACGACGTCGCGGTTTTTCTCCGTATTCATGGTGGAAAGAGCCACTTTCATTTGTTTTCTTTTTCGACGGAGGCCGTCACCTCTGACACAAAACGTGTCGCGAATATTCATCCCCCTCCCTGCCCCTCGCTAATGACTCTCCTCCGGTCGTCACCCTGGTCCCCCCATTCCTGGCGCTTATCTTAGGCGGACTTTATGCAACGTCTGTCAGTCAGGCCGTCCCGCGCGCGCAGTTAACGCGTAAATTACGTGACTGCGCAGCGTGCCGCTTTTAAACATCCCTATACGAAGGCGGTCTTTTCCATTAGCAAGTTTAAGCGTTCTCGCGAAGGTAGCGAAGGCGCGAGTCGCGGCTGATCTTCTGCCGATCTCGGAGAAGGAGGTCCGTGACCTTAGCTTCCCCTCCCCGGCCGCCGCTCCCCGCCCGAGCTACCACTCTCTTCTACTTCTTCCTCTTCTTCTTTATCTTCCTTCACCCACTGTTCTTCCCTTCTTCCTGAGCTTGCCGCGGCAACGTGGTTTTTCCTCGGCGTGGTCACCGTCTTCGAAAGCGGCGATCCAGTATTACGCTTCCGCGTCTGCATTGTTCCGTCAGAAGGTCTATAAATCGGCTACTGGATTGAAAACCATTACGATGCGCAAAAAATCAGTTGAGCAAGAAAGTTTCAGCGTTTACAGAAATTTAATAGCGATATTACTCTTATTGTCTCGTCTTCCCTCGATACAGGGAATTTTCGAAAAATCAAGAAGAGAATTGAAAAATGTACTTTAATCTCACACTCCATCTTCTTTGAGTCCCATGCAGCCTTCCCGAGATGACGGATTAATTAAACCGAGGCTGAAACAAATCCACGTTGATGAGACTAGCCCTGAATTAATCAAAATACGTCAGGGTAGACTAGGATCCACCTCGCCGGATTATTTTCTGCCGCGCTTCGTCCGCCCCGATCACGAATCCTGCACTTCTCTCGCATTTACCCCGCCCGAGATTATTCGCGACGCCACGCTCACGTACTATCGGGCGTAATTATCAGCTTCGAATGTGGCGCACTCGCTAATCCCTCGATCTCAACCCGAGGTCCGTGAACCTGACCTTCTTCCTTCGTTCTCTTCGCTCGCGCCCCTTTATCCTTCCTTATTATTCGACGCTTCTCATTTCTTCCTGCGCTCCTCTTCCACCATTAAACTCCGAGTAGAGGCAGTACATATATACTACCTCCGGTTCCTCCCGTCGATCCTGGGAGAGTTCCGCTTCTTCTTCCTTCCCGCTTCTTCCCCCTCCTTCTCCTTTACAAGGTGCTCGCCGTACTACCGGCCCACCCCCCGTCGTCTTTCGCGCACTTCGACGCGCCTCCTTCGGCTTGCAAGATTAAGATTTCCGCAAGATAACCGATAATGACCTCCCGACTGATGAGGAAGATTCGCGACCTCCGACCTCTTCCTTCCTCGTGTATGCGCCTTCAACGCGCGGGCTCCCGCTTTTCGTGCGTTCCTCTCGTATAAGTCGATTCATCATTTAATTCCGCCAGGACCAAAATGAATTTTTCACCGTGACTCCCCCCCGTGACCCGGTTCACGCGACCCACTCTCTTATGCTCGCTTCCATTATCTTCGACGCGGTTTTTGCCCGACGAGCTTACCGCGCCGCCACTTTACTTTCGTTTTTGTATTCCCGTTAACGCGCCTAAATCCTCTCAAGAGTAACGAGTCCGTCGCGCCGTAAAACGCCGCGTTGTATTCAGAGAGAGAGTCTCATAAGCAAGACAGTTCTCAAGATAAAAATTATAACGACTTGATCCTGAAAGAGCACCAAGTACCGAGGGCTCTATCCTTTTTCCTCGGCTCGCCTGGATTCCCACTTTCCATTCATATTTCTGTAACAATAAAACCAGCAATCTCAGTTGCCGCAATCGCCGGTTTCACTGCTGATAACAGTGCCAATCTCTGCCGCGAGTTCGATGACATTTTATTTTCTTTCGGTACATCGCAAGCGACTACCATCAAGCTCGTTGCGCTACCAAGAAGAAGCAGAGTAAATTGCGCCAATTTACGATCGTCGAAATTACAATAATTTGTGGCCATTACTGCGAAGTGTTAAGATGAGAACCGAGATGAATAATTACGCTTCTGCACGGTTGCGTTCGGGCTCCCGCAAAGAATCGAACATGCCAGGATCGGCGGTCCTGCGTGCAATAACATCTTTTCCGCTTTCCACGGCGGGGCAAAAATCAAACGCGCTGCCTGCCTATTACGCTTGAATACTTCGTTGTTGTGTCGGAAGCGATTAAGCTTCAAATAACGTAGGTATTAACGTTAGATCGGTTGGTCCTGGAGCACAAACATTCGCGTAAGAAACCCGCGGTTTCTTCTTCCTCTTGTTCTTCTTCGCGCGGTATTATGTATAGCTATTCTCATTGTACCAGCTCCGTCGCGTAATAATGAAACGATCCGTCAATTTTTCTCGTACGAAAGCGAACAAACCGAGCAACGGTAACCGCGACGGTCACAGTACATTACAGTAATCAATTAATATTCGCGGGGAGTTATCGCGTGCTGGCTGCGTGGATAACAGTACCGAACGATCGTAGGGGAAAAAATGGACATGGCGATTGCGCGCGCTGCAGGTTTTTCGCGCATTGCGATCAAGGTGATACGATGACGTGTCATGGGAGACTCAAGTACGGATGTGACACATCGTATTAACGTTATCTATTAGCATTATCTATCGTAAGTTAAAGATGGATCGTCATAAGCTCGAACCGGATCGGTGGCCTACCGCAAAAAC